TAGAGAAGAGGGGAGATGAAAATATGGTTGTGGAGGAAACTCGAGATTGACATGTTGTTCAGAGGGGGTGTCAAGGTAGGAGATCTCGTGGTAGAGATGAGGGACTGGTGGGAGCTTCTCATTTTGCTGTCTTAGAGAAGGATGAAGAGGAAGTTAGGGAGGAGGTAAGAGAACCTCTAAAAGATGTGACCAACTCATTACCTAATGATAAAAGAGCAAGAAAGAGATATGTAATGAATGTGCAAGAAATGCTTACTAAGATGTTTAATAAGATGGAATTTATGGCAGAAACTAAGAATATAGAGTTAGAGAGGGAAGTGATGTCTGAAAGGAGGAAGGAGAAGTTAGATAATATAAGAGGGATCTATTTGGATATCAAGGCAATTGGTAGTGAGAAGTAGGGGAATATTATTGAACATAAGGCTGAATCTAGAATCACTTTTATTGAAGAGAGAAAGGGAAGAAGAGAGGAGAGTATGGATTAGGACAGATTTTTAAAAGCTGAGGTTGATAGAGGTCCCTTATGGCAAGGGGATGGGGTTATTGAGTTATTAATGAATGATGATATGCCAGTAATGTGGCTACTGAGGCTTATAAAGAGTGCATGGTTGATTGAAGGGGTGGTTTTTTGTTAAAATAATATTTTAATAGTTAAGTTGGTTGTATGAAATTGTTTGCTACTATAAAGGAGTTGATGAGAACAATTAGACCTGAGTTAGTTACTTTGATGGAAACTCAGATGAGTGGTAATAGGGCTGTTAATTTTATTAAGAAGATGGGTTTTAGGCACTCAATTAGGGTAGAAGCGGAGGGATTTGCTAGTAGAATTTAGTTGAGCTGGAAAGAGGATGTGATTACAATTGATGTGTTGAGAAAGGAGTTTGAGTTTCTACTTGTGAAAGTTGTAATACATGGTTATGTTGATTGGTTTTGTACGATTGTGTATGCAAATCCACAAGGTGAGGGAATGGCTAGTTTGTGGGATAAGTGGTTTATGATTACTAAGGAAATAAGGGAACCATGGCTGATTGCAGGTGATTTCAATGATATAGCATTTCCTTCAGAGCAAAGTGGAGGGGCAAGTCCTAATATTGCTAGATGTAATGCATTTCAGGATTGGATTCATTCTTGTGAGTTAGTTAATATAGATGCTGTTGAGCCTCATTTTACCTGGAAAGGCCCATAATGGGAAGGTAGAGAACGAGTGTACAAATGGCTTGACAGGGGCCTTTGTAATGTTGAATGGCAATTATGTTTTCTAAGGATGTTGGTGCGGGTGTTGCCGAGGATTTATTTGGATCATCATCCTTTACTTTTTGATTTGGAAGGAGAGAAGAGGATGAAAGGGAAAAATCCTTTCAGATTTGAAGCTATGTGGTTATTGCACCTTGATTTTAAGAAGTTTTTGAAAGAAGAATGGTGTGAAGGGGAGGTATTTCATAGGGCCTTAGAGAAGTTTCGGGGCCTTTGCAAATGTGGAATTGGGAGGTTTTTGGTGAATTAAAAGAAGAAAGAGTAGATTGATGGCTTTGGCTAGATGGTATTCAAAGGAGTCTAGGTTATGACAAAAATTGATTTTTGGAGGAATTAAATCAAGATCTACAAAAAGAGCTACTGGATCTGCTGCAACAAGAAGAATTGCATTGGTTTCAGAAATCCAGAAGTATGTGGTTGCATAATAGTAATCGTAATACTAAATATTATCATCTCAAAACTCTGAATAGAAGAAGATTAAGTAAAATTTTATCATTAAATAATGGGGAAGGAAGGTGGATAGATGAGGAAAATGGTTTGATTAATATGATTCAATGGCATTTTAAAAACATTGTTTTTAGAAGAGATGAGTGATAGGAAATGGTATTGCTCTATCCATGGTTGGGGAGTAGTTGGTAGAAGAGTACTGGAAGGCCTAAATAGGGATATTGAGTTTGAGGAAGTAAATAAGGTTGTGTTTAATATTGGGGCCTTTAAGGCGCCAGGTGGTTTTCCTACCATTTTTTATCATGGTAATTGGGATGTGATTGGAGGTAATGTGGTGAAATTTGTGCAAAGTCTATGGGAGGATCCGAGGAGGCTGATGGAGGTAAATAAGACTTTATTGGTTATGATTCCAAAAGTAGAGAAACCAGAGACTGCTAATCAATTAAGGCCCATTTCTTTGTGTAATGTTATGTATAAAGTGATCTCAAAAATTCTAGTTGACAAATTAAAGCCTTTGATGAAAAAGATTGTTTCTCCTTTTCATACAAGCTTTGTACTTGGAAGATGTATCCAAGAAAATATTATTGTGGCAAAGGAGATTGCTCACACTATGAATAAGATAAATGGGAAGATCGGTTTTGTTGCTATCAAAATTGATTTGGAGAAGGCATATGATAGAATGAATTGGTTGTTTTTGAAGAAGGTATGATTAGAGATTGGTTTGGAGGGAAAGGTGTGTGATGTTATCAATGCTTGCATTAATACAGCATCTTTTTATATATTATGGAATGGTGAGAAATCTGATTATTTTATTCCTTCCAGGGGGTGAGACAAGGGGACCCTCTGTTGGGGATGAAAAAGTTATCACACATTATAGCAGATGCCATGGAAAGGAAAGAGTAGAGTCCAATCTGAATTAGCAAGGTGAGAATTCCTATATCTCATCTTCTTTTTGTGGATGACTTGTTATTATATTATGAAGTTGAGCCTAAGCAATTGAATGTGGTTTTAAAATGCCTTGATTTGTTTGCTAAAATATCTAGGCAAAAAAATAAACCAAATGAAAACTATAATATGTTTTTCAAGAAATGTTAGTGATGAAAGACAAAATGAACTGGTTCAACCTAGTGGATTTCATAAAACAAATGAGCTAAGAAGGTATTTAGGGGCTTTTGTCACAGGAGGTAGAAATACAAAGCAGAAGTTTAATTTTTCAGTTGAAAAGATTCAAAAGAATCTCAGTGGGTGGAAAAGGAATAGTCTTTCTTTAGCTGGTCTTTGATTCTGGTTCAGTCTGTAACACAGCAAATGCCTGTGTTTCACATGTTGCATAAGAACATTCCTAAGGTTGTTTGTTAGCAAATTGAAAGAATTAAAAGAGATTTTATATAAGGTACTGATGAGGGTAAGAGGAATTTTCATTTACTGAGTTGGAAGAAATTATGTTGGCTAAAAGAAGTGGGAGGTTATGGTTTGAAAGATTTGAAAGTAATAAATGATGCATTACTTTGTAAAATGCTAAACCGGATAAATTGGTTTTGAGGGTTTTGGTTGCGAAATATGGGAGAAGGAAGAATTTATCAAGCAATTGTGTGGTTAAGGAAGGGGATTCTGTTATCTGGAAAAGACTTGGAGGTTTGTGGGAAAAGTTGTGTCAGGGGTTTGGGTAGGAAGTTAAGGATGGTAAAAGTGTGAAGTTTGGGGAGGATTATTGGTTAATAAAGGAAAGGAGTTTCAAAAATCATTGTAGAATTGAGATTGGTGAAGATGAGAGGAGAAAGGTGGTAGCTCATTATATGGATGAAGAAGGGAGATGGAGGCTGGATATTTTGGAGGAATTGTTGGATACTAAGGTGATGGATAAAATTAAAGGTGTTTACCACCAAGAAATGAGGACGGGTGTGATACTGTTAAGTAGATGAATTCTTCTCATGGAAATTTTTTAGTAGTAGAAATGTATAGAGCTTTGAAGGGATTTCAAGAACTGATGCCAGATATTATGTGGAAAAAGATTTGGGATTGGAAGGGCCCGAGAAGGATCCAAATTTTTTTGTAGTTAGCAGCAATGAGTGTCTTTTAACTACTGTTAAGAGAAGTAGGATTTTAAGCACATGACCTATTTGTGCAAGATGCTGTGAGGCTGATGAGAATATGCTACATGTGTTTCAGGACTGCAAGTTTGCAAAGGGAGTGTGGGAGTAGCTGCTAGGGAGGAGAAGGTGCACAGATTTTTTCACTTTGGCGATTAGAGAATGGATACTTAGTAACATGTCTAGATGTACGGATGAGTGGCAAAATTGGTTCTTGATCTTTGCTGTTTCTATTTGGTTTCTATGGTACTGGAGAAATTGTAGTTTGTTTGTTGATAATTTTGTTTGGCCAAGTGATCTGGGTGGAATCATTTTGGGTTATGTTTCTGAGGTTATAGGGGTGTATAATTGTGGGAGAAAGGGGAAAAGGAGTATGGGGATGAAGGTATCTTGGAGAAAACTTGAAGAGGGTTGAGTGAAACTGAATATAGATGGAACTATGAGGAGAAAAGGGGTGACAGGTTGTGGTGGTTTGTTAAGGGATTTTAAGGGAATGGCTAGGTGGTTATGTTAAGCAACTTGGCTATTGCAGTTGTGAAGACGCTGACTTTTGGAGTCTAATATATGGCTGTGAGTTTTTACAGAAGTTAGGATACCGGCATGTGGTAATTGAATCTGATTCCTCTTCTGTTGTTAGGAGTTTAGAAGATTTGCTGTTATATGGAGAGGGTGACAGCAGATTCATAAATCGTGTTGCTAAATGGGTGGATGAAGGATGTGAGATTAAGGTTCAACATGTGTTTAGGGAAGGGAATGCATGTGCTGACTAGCTTGCAAAATGGAGTTGCCTTCAATCCAATGTGTGTCAATTCTTGAATGAGCCTCCTAGGGGCTTGCGTCGGTTGTTATACAAGGATATGAGTGGTTTTGCTATTTTAGAGTCTCTGACTCTTAGTTTTTGTTTTTTGTTTTTGTTTTGGGCTTTGGCCCCGATTTGGAAAATTTTTTTATAATTTTTATATATTTTTTATTTTAAAAATATAAATAAAAAATAAAAATATTAAATTTGACTTGTCCAACTCCCTCAAGCCCGCCCTGTGCTCCACTGCCTTCTTCATCCTTACGCTTATCTTTGTGCCCCACCGCTTTCTTCTTTCTTCCATCATCAACGCAACTTTTCATTCTTCTTCCTTCATCTTTTGAAATTCTTTCTAATTCTTTAATTTCTTTTTCATCTTTTCCCCAATCTCAAACAGATTACTCTTCTTTTTTCCTCTTGATTTATCCCCTGAAGTTGGCATCTTTTGAAGATGAGGATGATTTTAGAAGACAGACAGGGGAGAGGATAGTGCTACTGAAGTAGTGAATGGCGAAAGGGGAGATAAAAATGAGGGATCTTGGGTTTGAAGTCTGAATACTTCCTTTGCACCATCAAGTCTCACCACAACGTTGCATTGTGCGCCGCCTTACACCAGAAGAAGGACGATGAGGGCTTACCCCAATAACCTCTCAGGACGTAGAAGATAATGGGCAACCGGAGTAGGAGAGAACGTTCAGGTCAAGGCACAGGTCAGATGATTCTGAATCATAATCTCAATGGGAAGCAAGTTTCCTTCTTCTCCCTGATTTTACTTCTTATATTTGGCCTAGATAAGATGATTGAGACATCTTAATGTTGCATCCAGATAACTAATGTTGAAAAGAGAGTGCTTATTTTGAAATGGAGGAGGATGAAGACGAAGATGAGGATGAAAACGAGGAAGAATGCAATATCAAAAAGAAGGTATTCTGTAGATTATTCTCTTTATTCTTTGATTGGATTATATATATATATATATATATATTGAGTAGAACTAATGGTCATTTTCTTTCTTCACCGTCTTCGGTATAAAATTTGGCATGGGTATAAATCATCTGTTTGAATTCGTGCACACTTCATTTCTATTCTCCCTGGAACCAATCAAATATCTTCACCTTCTTTCTAATGTCTTTCCTATCTGATCGTAATTTTAAACCATTATCTATCTTTTTTCATCCTCAACCATTTGTCTCCAGTATGAATTTGATTATTTCAAAGTAGCCTCTTGTGCTAAAGTCTATGAAACCTAAGTCACTTGTCAACTTTGCATAATGATTAGAAATTTAGACCATAAGAGTAAAATATTCACAGGGAAATTTGCTCCTGCAAACACCAAAGTCATTCCCGGCCTTGAAGATACTGATTTAAAATGCGACAGGCACAAGAGCTCCAGCAACATCAGAAACTTGAGAAGCTCTGCATATCAACACAAGCTGGAAATGCTACTAGGTCCTCTTATGCCAGTTTTTTATTCTTATAAACTTTTTACTTCAATGGGTCCCCTCAATTGATTGTTGATAACGTGAGTTGTTTTCGCTCAACATTATCAAAGGGATATTGTCTGTATGGTATAAGGTTATATTGTTACTGGATCGAAGCAAGTTGAAATAGGTTAGTAACATTGGGAGATGAAATTGGTACTTGCTCCATTTGTTGATTAAGGGTATGAAATCTTTTAAACTGGAATTTTAAGAGATGAATTCATTTGTTTAACATGATGTTCATTTCATCCTGTCATTGAATATTATTTTGTCTTAGTGAGTGCCCCCAACTTCAAGTGTGCCTTTTGCCCCAAATATGAGTAGGATACGTTGATGGATTTTATTAAAGATTATTCATGTTCATAAGTCACATTGATGGCTCATTCCTGATGTTTTGCTTTTGTTTCAATTTTCAAGGAAGTTAAGCTCAAGAGGAAAGAGAGTTTAGCAGGACTTTACCTTCTTCTAACTGATGTGATAAATAGGTACGCCAGCCACTAAGTGCAGCAGCATAGAGACACCTTTTTGGTTTTTATTTCAAGAAAGTGCAATTGAGTAGCTTTAGTTGTGTATGTTTCATTTAGTCTTCTTTTTACTTTCATCTGAACCAAGTAGGTTCCGGTAATTCATGGAATTCATTTTCAAGAAGCTTCCACTCTTTAAACTTATTCAATAAAATAAAATGATACCTGGTCTCATTTCTTCTTTATATAAACCAAGGTGAAAGAATGAATAGGAAAAAAATTAGATAAGAAGATAGTAAAATTGGTACTTTGCCTTTTCGTCTGAGTTTGCATGCTTTTCTTTTTATAACAGCGGTGCAAAATAAACCCATCACGCATCAATTTTAGAACTACCAAAGCTAGGAGTGCAAACTGCAAGTGAGGAAAAAATGGTGCCCATGAAATTTCATTCTTGTACAGAAAAGTTAGAGTTTGCTATAGTATATCATTTATAGGGCTGTACAAAGGATTGGATGGCATTGGACTTCGACCCAACCTGAAATCTAATCTCTTTCATGAAAAGGATTGGGTTAGACAACCTATAGTTCAATTTGTCCAGTGATAACCCGAAGATTAATAGGATTGGACTTGGTTAATAGAACTGAGAGACTGGTCCTATTACTCAGTACTCACTTAGTTTTTTTTTTCCTTTTTCCTCTATGAGAGGCGGTAATCCATTTCAATCTAATAAACTCAATTAAGATAATAAAAACTCTTATAATAATAATAAATCCATAATAATTTTCAAGAACAAGACAAAAATATTTTTGGTATAGTCCAAATGATTTAAATTTATAAATTCAACAAAAAAAAAAAACACTCAACACACTTCAACAACACTACATTACAACAATAATTTAGAAACAAACTCAACAAATCTTCATACAATCATCTCTTTAGTGTCAATTACACTTGAAGTATTTGTCAAAAAAAAAAACTATAATTATATTAAATAAATTAATAAGATCAGACCGGATCAAGTGATCTAGATGTCCAATCTCCTGTCCAATCCAACGTGAAAAAATATTCTGGTCTTTTCAATCTTTTTGTCTTGAAGGACCAGTGTTTATACAGACTAAACAAAACTTGACCATCTTGAGTTTGATTGGATCAGACAAGACTGGAGGACTTTTGCACTGCCCTAATCATTTATGAGTTTAGTAACTTATCCCAAATATGCTTTTGCAATTCAGAAAAAATATCAAAAATAGGGGGCCTCTATCAAATCCTCGATTTGCATGAATATGGAATTGCAGCCTTAGGTAGGGATTCTATTAGTAGTCTTCTTGAAGCTACTGGAAGTACCAGACTTGGAACATCTTGAGAGACCGCTTGTGGTCGTCTCTTGATTAAATCAATATATACTATTCAGATGAATTGATTAGTTCTTTGTTTTTGTTTTAAATAGTGGTGAGTGTGATTACTGCTATTAATTATGACAAATTAAAACCGAAGATTATGCGGAAATGATTTCACGCACGACGCCAAAGTGGCCAACCTTATGGGTTGCTTTGGCTAATGAAGCGCCTGCTTGGGTATCATATAAAAGGAACAAATGCTTAGCACATTGAACTGTTAGAGGGCTTTATAACTGCCTTGTATTGAATCCGGTAGGGGGGAATACATGGTTATTTTATTAAAAGAAAAAAAGGAAGTAAAATCCATGGTTACATGTTATATTGTTATTCTTCTCTTGGTTAGATTGGAATGAAGTTCTTGATAATTTATTATGATTGTTTAGTTCAAGCTGGATTGAAGGATCCCCCCCCCCCATCTCAAGATTATCAGTTTTTGTCATCATTTTAGCATTAATACTTGAATACCCTTGATCTCTTTACAATTTAGGTTTGTTCTTTTTTAGTCATTTGATAAGTTTATGTGTTTGTTTCTTTTTTTTTTAATCTTGGTTTTGTAAATGATGAAGGAAATTCAGAGTAGTTAGAACTCTGAAATCACATGTTAGTCTATGTAGAATGAAGGCATTAATTTTTTTTTTAAAAAAAAAAAACCGTGCCTTAGTCGCTCTATTCTGAAAAGAAAGTGGTTAGGCTTGGGTTGCTTGTCATATCATTTTTGCTGTAAGCAATTATCCGATCTTTAATCAAGCAGATGCAGCATAGGCAACATTGGCATCTTTAATATGTCGTCAATGTTTTTTTCAAAAAATTTGGTTGGGCGCTTTCTTTATTTATGTCCACTTCCCCTTTCTCAACAATATTTGTTAGATTCCTTAGAGATGGTTGTAGCACCTTATATTACAATAGAATTGCTAAGTAAGAAAGAATTATGTTCCTATCTCTGTACTATCACTATTTGAATGTTTGAAAAAAAGAAAAAACTAATGATTATATATATGGTAAGATAGGGATTCTCCATGAAAGAGAGACATATTGGACAAAGTTATTGTACGATAAAGAAAATGCAACTTATTTACACTAAATATGATATTTTGAGCACACAAAATAAATTATTTTAAATTGTATATATTTTATTTTATTTTTATCTTTTAAAATAAAAATGATGCTCGGGGAATAAATCTAGTTACAAATGTGAGATCCATGGTGAAACTGTGAGATTGACTATGGCAAAAAATATTAAACAAAAGTTATTAAAATAGCTTCTAATGCACATGCCACCAATAAATTTTGAAGGTGTCCAAATTCCTAACATACACAAATGCAACAAATTATAAAATATAACAGATTGTCATATGAAATTTAAGGTGAACAGATGAAAAATTATGAAATGGAAAAGTCATCTATATTTTTAATATTGTTATAAATACAATTATTTAACAGTTGTTCAATATTTAATGTTCATTAGTTTTTATGATATATTTAGTTAGATACGAATGAAATGGAAGTGGTGGGTATTTTAATAAGTTTAATTGAAAAAAATGGAGAAATGAGGTTATAAGTTTTTAATTGAGCTTTCGTATTCTTTCCTCCTATATCTTCTCTCTATTAATTGTGACATTAATAGTAGTGGTTTGAGCCTCTTAAACACCATTTTAGAGTTTGATTTTAAGAGGTGTATATGAAAAATATCATTTGCAATAAAACAACCTCTTAAATGGCCTTCATATTCTCTAAAGGATTGGTCCCATAATTGTTGATTGAGAGGATACCTTGAGAAAAAAATTGTAAACCCCATTTATTTATTTCTTTTAAAAAAATTGAATTCATTAAAATCTTTATCCTTTTTCTTTTCTCTCAAATCAAACAAAAAATTAATGCCCTTGTGCATGGCACTGGTTGTAAAATCTTGTTTTCAAGAAAAGCACGCTGGCACAATCTATTCTTGTAATCAACTCGACCATGTATCACGATCATAACCCACCCCCCCCCCTTTTTTTAATTTTACCTTACATTATGTTACATTACATTATACACTCTTATGTATCCCTTATCTAAAAACACTTTACATGCAGATTAAAAATACTTGTTATATTGCTTTATTTATTTAAAATATCTCTATATTTCAATTAAATCCTTATTAATTAAAGAGAATTTTTTCTTGCCTTGCTTACGTTACAAGAAAGCTATTAAATGATAAGGATACAATGGGACATCATTTAATATTATGATTAGATAACTTATCACTCACAAATTGTATATAAAATGAAGAAATTATTTCTTTTTTTAAAAAAAAATTGCTACACTTTTCTACACCGGTTTTACAACCTTTACTGATTATAAAACTGATGTAAAAAATCTACGCCGTCTATAATGGCATCGGTTTTTGAATATGTATAAAAGTCTTTTATTTTATTTTATTTTTTTATCCTGGGGCTATAGGGACAGGTTTGGGATCAGACAGAAACAGCTTTAGATTCATCAACCTTAACCTCATCGCCAGTGCTACCGTCTTGACTGCCCAATTGGCTGTTAAATTCTAAGCCGTAGACATGTCCCATTTTCGCACGTTTGGTCTCCAAATATCTCTTATCCTTTGTGATCAGAGTTAACAATGGGATCCTACCAGAAACTGTCAAACCATAGCCCTTTAATCCAATATATTTTGCTGGATTGTTTATCATCAGCTTCATTGATCTAACACCCAAGTCCCTCAGTATCTGCAGCCACAATTTCAACATGTATCTGTCAATCATTTCTCTCTATGAGAGTGATCCGTAATATGTTAGAATTGTATGTTGGACCAGATAATATATTTCAAGTAAAAACCCACTATCACTTTAAATCAAGGTACTAAAAACTAAATCATTCATTAAATTGGCCAAGGTATTAGTTCAAGAGTTGATGATCAGACTAGCCATAAGCAAAATATTTGATTGTTAAGGTACTAATTCAATGGTTTACCAATTCATTTATACCTTTATTTCATTTATTACTTCTTTTGAAAAAAAAATGATGCATCATAATTTCAAATTATTATTAAGGTATTTTATATATGATATTTAATTAGGGTATAATTAAAAAGATATAAAATTTTTTAAGAAATTAAGGTTTCATCTAACTTGTTTTTTTTTTTTTAAGAATGTGAAGTAGTTATCAATATTCCATATTGTAGTCTAGAAAGAGTAAAATTTTAGAATTGTTTGTTGCACCAAATAATATAGTCATATTAAAAACAGTCATTGAAAACCAAGGTACCAAACTGGATCCTTCACTGGTCAAAGCATTAGTTCATGAGTTAATGTTCATGCGTTAATGGTCAGACCGATAATGAACAAAACATTTCATTGAATTAGTTAAGGCACTAATTCAACAGTTCACTAATTCAGCTGACTATGTTGACCCTATTTTCAATACTATGCTGTAAATCACAGCGAACTAAAACAAGAGAAGTGGTATGTTACCTTTGCTCCAATGCCGTACTCCCTCGAGTCAACAGGCAATCCCAACTCTTCATTGGCTTCGACAGTATCACGTCCATCATCCTGCAGGTTATAAGCACGAAGCTTATGACCTAATCCAATACCTCTTCCTTCATGTCCACGTAGATATACAAGGACACCCCTCCCAGCAGCCTCAATCTGTTTCATAGCAAGTTCAATCTGTTTTGCACAATCACATCTACAATATCCAAATGTGTCTCCTGTCAGACTTTCTGAATGTACCCTCACAAGAACATCTTATCCATCTCTAATCTCACCCTGTTAAATAATAAAAACAGTTAAAACTCTAATTCAACTAAGACTTTACCACTGAACAATCTAGAAATCATATATCAGCATGATTGTGATAAGAGCTTGGCATGGTTTGCAATCACCCGGCCTTATCCTCTAATTAACTGTTATGAGTTCTATATCAAGGAGCCTCACAAGAAAAGTTGGGTTTATAAGTCCAAAGAGCCATTTCTTGATGGGAAAAAGAGAGGGAAGAACCGGAGGAGAAGCAACAAAAGGTATCGAATCCTCAGGCTACAAGAAGCTGTCACAGTTAAGATATGATGGCTAATATGATAGCTTGACAGTTCATTGAAGTCTGAAATGAGAATTCCATTCTGAAGGAAAAAGTGCAGCATAGAACTGGCTCAAAAAACAGTAAAAACACTTCAGATTTGCATCATTTTTACTTGAAGAGACTCAAACATAGCAGTGACCTTTGAGGCAATAACTTGAAAATTAAAAAAAGCTTCCCATTGAGCTAAAGACTAACGTTGTAGCATACTGGCATCTTTCCCATGCACAAGGTTTATGTTGTGTGTGTGTGTGTGTGTGTGTGTGATATGTGATTTGTGTTATTTTTCTGTTTTGTGTTGTTTTTCAGTATTGGGTATTTTACTGTTATGCTATATTGTGGCTTGTGGGGTAAGGGTAGAACTGGCATGATGAGTTTTCTGTACTAGTTTGAATTAAAATACTTCAAATTGTGGGCCATGAGCTACAATTTTAACAAAAGCAAACCTCAGCCTCTTATGATCGCAGGTTTAGGGTTCATGCTCCCCCTTAATTTTTTTATAGCTATGCGTGCTTGCATGGTCTTTTGACACAAGCAATATGGGACTCTAACAAATATTATGTACACTGTACACAATGTAGCATTGTTTCTTATTTTTTTTCTTTTGCTTTTGGTTAATTTTTTTTTTGGCTTATATCTTGAAGCTTTTTTAATCATAAACACATTTTTTAACTATGACTATTATTAACCATGGTAGCGATTGGTAAATTGCTACTAAATTCCATACCGCTATAGGAAATAACCGCTACAAACAAACCACTACTAATTTGATGCCTATGTAAACTCGACCCCCAACTCCAGCATTCATTTGCACCAATTACCATCAGCTTCAGCTCCCCATCTTCCGCCTCTCCTCTTCAACATTTCTCTCATCTCTTCTCATAAAAATTATCTTATTTGTTGTTGTTATTTTTTTTGCATGATTAAAAATAAACTTTCTTTTATATTCTTTAATTTTAATTTCATATCCTAACATTTTCTTCTACTTCTTTTCTTTGATTATCTATATCTAAAATTCATTTTTTAAATTTTTATAATAAATTACTATTATTTAAAATTTATATAACTATATTTTTTTTAACAATAATTAGTTAGGAACAAAATCCCTCATTGATGCCTGCTCATATTGATCACAAAGTTCCCTTAGGTTCAAGGTTCAATGTCACCTCATTGATGCATCTAGTATATATTGTATTGGTTTTTATTGTGAAATGTCTAGTTTGATGAAATACAATGCTACATGAGTTAAATTAAATGAATGTCGCTCTTTACGTAATTGTATGTATTTCAATCATTTATTGAAAAATCGTATTATATAGGCCACGTTGAACATGAGAACGAATTGTTTATTATAGCAACTGAAATGTCAATGTGCCTCGAGAGTCCATATATCCATATATATATATATATATAGAGAGAGAGAGAGAGAGAGAGAGAGTTCGTAAGCAAGTAATTGCCGTTCAAGGTAGCTTTGTTCAAGGTACTTTGTGATCAATATGAACATTCTCTATTTATATAATCTATAACAATATTTGTTTAATGTTCTCATCAATCTTTCTTTTAACTAATGAATATTTGGTTTGTCGCGTATTGTACCTCATCATATATGTTAATGGCCCATTAGTTTGGATATTAACCAAAATAACATCATTTTCTATTTACTAATCTCTCATCTTTTACATGCACTAGTACAAAAAAAAAAAAAAATTTTACAATGATTAAAAATGACTTTTTATAGTGATTAAAGAAGCAATGTTATTTTTGAAGATATAAAATGTCCCCATCTTTTTATGTAAAAAACTAAACTTTTTACATCGGTTATATAGTTAATTTTAAAACTATATTCAAAAATTAAAACAAAAATCATTAGGCACTTTTTACATCAGTGATCCCAACCAATGTAAAGAGTTAAGTTTCTATATCGGTTGAGATCCCAACCGATGTAGAAAGCTAAATTTCTATATCGATTATTATCATAATCAATGTAAAAATTTAAAATTCTATAGCAGTTATTACAATAACTGATATAAAAAGTATTTGATTTTTTTTATTACCATGTCTATTTTTTTTTTATTTTACCCATTCTTATGCATAGAAATTGCCAAAGCTAAATCAGATAACACAATTCATTTACAATTTCCAATACTAACAATTGTTTATCAAGTATCTATCAACCATCCAAAACTACTTAACTATCAAAAACTAACAATTGTCTAAATTGTAAAAATTTATTAAAATTGTCAACAAAAATTTTCAAAACTTGTCTAAAACTAACAAATTTATTAAATTATATGAAACATTCTATAAACCTCACAAATTCTCTTCAACATAGGTTGTCAAACATATGTGGATGTCTTTAATTTTAGCTTCAGGAAATGCATCTGAATTGTCGAACATCTAAAATATGATTCACAAAAGAGGCTTATTAATTAATCTCAAATAACATAATAAAATAAAACTTTTAAAAATATATTTACCTCTTTTGTAAATTCAGTCATGCCCAATGTGATGATATTGAGCATATATCTCGTCATCACATATAGACCGCATAAGTTCATCTTCACTAGTTGTTTACGACTCTATATAAGAACAAATAATAAAAAATCAGTAATAAATCCTAATAATTGAATATATTAATAAAGTGTAGCATCACTTTTAACTTGATCCATGTGAGATCCTTGAGCTCATGTCCATAGTTTTACAAGACCACATTTTGATATGTTTTCATTGCCATATAAGCAAGATCACTAAGTTAGTAAATAATATGTTCATAAAAAGTTAAATTGAATAGTTTTGGCACAAGTATATTTATGAGTCTATTGTCTTCTTCATTTTCTTCCTAAGTTTGTAATGGAGAGAGCATAAAAAAATGACAATATTACTCTTCAGTGAAAGAACAAACAACTGCCAATGTTTCCTGCAAAATATGATATCAGTTAAAGTAAATCCACATTGAAAAAAAACTATTAATTACAAATTAATCCTTATGAGTGTACGTATAGAACCATAAAAACGTCCTTCTTGACTTCACATATTCTTTATTGGAGGTACTTGACCTTTAACTTTGGAGCATTACATTTTTCTGTCATGTGATGTGAACAAAGGAATCCAAACTTATCACCTTTGCCTAATGTAATGCACAAAAGATAAAGGTATCTACAACAATGCAATTATAATAGTTTACTAAACTTGATGATTAAGTTAATTATATTAAAGAAAACATACTTACATCATAAATAGTTTAATGTATGGTGTTGTAAGCTGACTATTTAATAGAAATCAAACCAATCTTCCTGTTCAATCATCACAATCATATCTTTCTTGCCCATAACCTCTGGATCCATTTACAAATTTTTGAATTTGAATGATGAATCATATGCCATTAAGATCATTTATTGGTGTGGAGTTAATAAGGTTTTGAAAGTTTCAAGAAATTTGGCGAGGACAGCCTTTACATAATAAAAGGCAAAAAATAGTTAATAAAAAAAACATATATTAGGAAAGTTGCTATATAATAAAAAATCATGAAATTTCATACCATATCATGAACTATATTTACAAGTCAATTGTGCCATAGGATAAAATGACCAGTAGCTTTAACCACATTATTCACCTCATCAGTAAGGAATGGAAACAATGCATCTGGCACTTTTAAATCTTTAACCACCACTCTCACTTAATCATCTTGAATTTTCTTGTGGTGGATGGTTGACTCCAAGTTATAGACGCTGCCAATAGCAACCAAGCGTCTATCAGTAGAAAGTTCGAGCCTCAGGTTCCTTGTCTCATTGCCAAATTCAAGAAAAAATTAATCAATTTTCTTCTACTGAGGAGAATCGATTGGATGCCAAAGTTTTTCATCGGATACCCTCTCATTTGCATGCCACATTAAGTTTTTTACATCATTAGCATTTGCAAACAAGCACTTGAATCTTGGTATAATCGGATGATACCATAAGACCTTTGTAGGAGCCTACTTCTCTTTGTATTCTGGTGCCTCACATTTCGGACACTTTTCTTCTCTTTTAAGTTCTTTTCTGTATAGCACACAATCATTAAGGCATGCGTGTATTTTTTTTATACTCCATACCCATTAGGCACAAAAATCTTCTTGACATCATAATAACAATTTAGTAGTGCATTGCCTTTCGAAAATATTATTTAGAGCAACTCTAGCAACCATGCAAAACTTTGTCACTCCATCCAGCTCTTGCCTTCGAGGTAACTAGTTTTTAACACCCCAGATAATAAACTGAAATCAGTACACTTCAAGTATAGAGGCTTCTTTGCATCACTACACAAGTTACCATATATATGTGCTCGTTTAAAGGCCTCTTCCCTAATATTATAGATCATGTCCTCTAACTGATCTTCATTCACATCTACTTTGTCATCAAGATTATCAACTTCCACATATTAAGGCGTGCTACTATGATTTTCTAATTGTTCCCCATGCCAAACATATATTGTATAATTCTTGTAAATCCCATCGCAAATCAAGTGCTCCCTTATTTTGGCAATACTTAGTCTCCTCTCATTCAAGCAATGAACACAAGGACATTAAAACCTCCCACTATTGTCAATAATGTTTTTCTTAGCAAATTTCAAAAACTTCTTTACCCCATTATCATATTCATCACTTATTCGTCTAGCATTTATCCAACTATGATCTGTATGTCACCTCCTAAAGAAGAATGTAACTAATATGCATGTTATCAATAACAACTAACTTTTAAGCAACTCAGGGGAAGAATGAATTTGAAAAAGTTTTGACAAAATCTCTCCTAAAAATTTGACCTCCAACAAAATGTATAAGCAAAAAATACATAGTTTTATATTTAAATAATGTTAACAATAACAAAACTTGATCACATGCAACAACCCGAGGCCTTAGGAAGCTACTAACAACACTTTCAGCAACAATCAATATCAATAACAATTAACTTTTAAGCAACTTTGGGGAAAAATGAATTTAAAAAAATTTCGACAGAATCTTCCTTAAAAGTTGGACCTCTAATAAAATTTATAAGCAAAAAATACATAGTTTTATATCTAAACAATGTCAACAATAACAAACACTTGATCACATGCAACAATTTGAGGCCTTAAAAAGCCACTGACAGTACTCCCAACAACAGTTATTATTAATAACAACTAACTTTTAAGCAACTATAGGGAAGAATGAATTTGAAATTTTTTGGCAAAGTCTCCCCTAAAAATTGGATCTCCAACAAAATTTATAAGTGAAAAATACATAGTTTTTATATCTAAACAATGTCAACAATAACAAAAACTTGATCACATGCAATAAACTGAGGCCTTATGAAGCCACTAATAGCACTCTCATTAACAATTAATATCAATAAACAACTAAAAGCTTAGCAAAAGAATGAATTTGGAAAATTTTTGGTAGAGTCTCCCTTAAAAATTATACCTCCAACAAAATTATAAGCAAAAAAAAAAATAAAATTTTATATCTAAACTATGTCAACAATAACAACTTCATCACATGCAAGGGATAATTATATATAAAAGCCTAATTAATTAGAAGAATTAATAAAAAATGAGTTTGAATATTTTCCAGGATTCAAGGCAAACCACTAATAACTATTTTAGCAGTGAAAGGGAAGCTATTTCTCTAACAGCCTTTCAGACCATATATCAAACTTTAAATTAACATCAATCTTGAAAAACAATGTCTTGAAGTTAGATTGAAATCCTAGAATTTTAATTCAAAAGTAGAATCCACTTGAATATCTAACCAAAATGATGATGCAAGAAGCTAAATCCCAAAAAAAAAAACATAAAGAGAAAAGGAAACCTGCTTAGAAAGAAAGCACGGATAAAATAGTTCGATGGTCAACTTCTATCTA